AAATGAAATCATTGAATTGATCATAGCAGGAGCCACCATTTTTACATGGAATCGTATTATTGACAGTGCACTCATCTATTCTAGCATCTCTTTCGATCGATTCAATGCGGCCCTGTAGTTGTCGGATTTTAAATAAACCGGATCGCAAGTCTCGTCTTAACTTGTTAAACCGTGTTCTATTTACATAATTTCTAAGCCTTCTTTCTAAACCGCGTAAGTCCCGTTTAAAGGCATTTAACTGCTTAGTCAATTCGTCTGTCGAAACCATGCTATTTGCTTCTACCTGTGTATTGTTTTCTTGAAGAGCATTCAAAATTTCCATTAAATTGACATCATTTATATTCAGAGCAGAGTTTGGCGATAAAGAAAATACAATATCTTTATCATAAACCGCCTCCAAAATGAGGTTGCCATCATCTTCAATGAATATTTTCGGTTGTTGTTCAAAGTCACACAGTACTAGATTGCAACATAGTACACACAGAAGGATGACGAAGGAAAATGTATACATATTAATAATAGTAATAATAATATAGTTTTTTCAAACTATTAAAGCTTAATTTTCAAATTTTTTGCACTCAAATATTATTTTCTTTATAATAAAATCTCTTTCAATCCAAAATCTCTTTCAAGTATTTTAATTATTTTTTTCACAAATTTTCCACACAATTGAAGCCTCAACTTAGCAATTTTAAGACCGATTTTAACTGAAACGGAAACCTCAAGTGTGGGTGTATTTATACCAAAAGGGACGTTCAATATTATCAGTTCGGGACGTACGAGGTATTTTTTGACAAAAAATTTGTGCATATTTTTAATAAGTGGTACCAAAAATATAATTTTACATTCAGATAAATAAAAGGTATAAAATCATCTTTATATGTATATGGATGTGCAGGAATATCTTGAAAAATTTGCGTTATCTTGAAATTTTCTTCAACAACACACCATAAAATTACTTAATTCCAAACAGATTGCCTGAAGCTAGAAAACCGTTAACGTCTGTGATTAAATAATATCGACATTAAGTTCTGTTTGTTCAAATACGAACAGACAAGATCATATGGATTAATGCGAAATCGATAAGGGAGTATGATGAGAGTTATCTATTTTTGTGAATTTACAAACATTAGTTTGAGAAGCTCACATACAATTGATAATAAATATTGGTTTGCTTTTCATTAAATATTAATAGCTGATTTGTGAATTCGTTTGTTCCAACTTAAATTGATTATGACTATTTAAAAAGGCAATCGAGTCATATTTAATCTAATATCGTGTTTATTATACATAAAACTAATTATATCACCGTCATCTAATAGATATATTTACTATGCGATGACCTACCATATATGCTATTCGTCGCGTGGAATTATAAATCTTCTGACAAGTTGATAATCATTTAAATATACATATATACTCAAAGTCTATTATAAGAAATATAATCCGATTAAGCATAATCAAATTAAATATTATTATTACAGGGAGCAGCAGCGTATTCATGGAGTAGCGGGTGGTGTTTCAAAGAGATTCTGAAAGAATCTAAGTACTATAAAAACTATACAATTCTTATATATTCTTTTAAAATTACTTTCATAATAGTATTAGAAAACTGTTTTTACTTTATTTAACAAATTTACTTATTTATTTAGGACGAATAACCCCTTCTTAGGTTTCAGTCGAACATAATATTACTTATGTTCCGTGCGTATCTGCTTCAGCTTTGTACATCAAATGCGGTTAGTGCTATCTAAACTTAATCACGCCATCGGAGAACAGTCTCCACTTAACTCTTCTTTCTACGGCTAACGTTTAAAGTACCTATTTTGCTGCAATATTTTATTCCATTTCATGACATGTTCAACCCAGTGAAGCCATTGAAATAAAGTCAATGTTTTGATAAAACTAGTATAGTTTGGTTTTCATTCTAATAGGTTTGTCATAACCTACTAAAAGAAAACCCATATCTTTAAAAAAAACTTTTTTTAAAACTCAGAATTACTTCATTATTATAGAGATTGTGTCGGGTGAAAAACAAACTGAACCTGCAACGAACCGTTTTTGCAGAGGTTTAAGTAGCCGGATCCCAGTTCAGTCCTGTAATAAATTTATTTCTTTGGAGCAGTGGAAAGCTGAGACGAGTATGTAAGGATTGAGAAATGTCAATTTCGATTATTACAGAAATGTCAAATTCAAAACTCGTGGACGATGAATTCGCCAAGGAATATACATTTCTTTGGCGTGGAAAAATTGGATTAGAAATGTAAATTTCTACCACACTTGGAGAGGGTTGATATAATGTGAATCATAATATAATGTGAAAATGGAAATTACTATTACCTTGTAAACGTTAGCCGTGTACATTTAAAATTTCTACTTCTGCTTCTGACACACTCAGCACTTATTAGCACGTTCTGGATAACAGCTCGTTGCTTTACTAACTGCCCAGATTGCATATTCGACGCATCTTTTACACTTGAGAAGTGCAATATGCATTATTGTTATATATTTTTTGAAGCACCATATTTTTTTGAAGAAGTAAATTTTCTGTTTTTATTGTAATGTTGGTGGTTGTTTTTAGCAATTGTTTTGACAACAGTAATTCTTTGACTGATCTCCAAACTAATTCCGTATTGGTATTTATGGCAGTCCCAAAGTAGATTGGATCTCTGATAACTTTAGAAGTATCGCAAATTTAAAAATAAAATGAAGTCTTATTTAACGCAAAACCTTATTTTTATTCAGGTTTATTTGCCTGACTGATGTTATTATCACAATTATATCTTTAAATTCAGATTTTTGCGAATTTCGCATTGCCTTGATTCCAGTAACGCAAGCCTCAGAGTTAAGAAAGGATTTCGCCAATTGAATAGGTGCGACTTTTGTATTGAGGGTTCAGATATTTCAAATACTTACCCATATGTCATAGCATTTATTTCATATACAATAGTTGTCCAACTTGAAGATTTTTATTGTTCATTACTGGCAGGTGTTCCACATACTGAACATATGAAAATGCTGAAAATACGGCCTACTGTACGAATTTTTGTTAATATATTAGTACATTACTCAAGTATTAATCCAGGGTTACCATGTAGACATTGTGCGACGACTTGGATTGGGCACAATAAGAATTGTGATAATATCTTTCCATTAGAAGTGATGATTACAATCGTACGAGTATAACTTCCATTCGAACTGAACCATAAAACTCATATTTATATTGTTTTATTGTACTGTTTAAATTGTCTGTTCAGTATAGATGAAACTCTCTTTAATACGAGTTTAATATGATTCGTATTATAATGGAAAATTATTCATTCTTATTTATTTTCTTTGAGATTATTTGTGTTGGCATATAACCTATCACTCAACAAGTCGTGTGACTAAGTAAGAAAAATAAATTTTTTCTGCCAAAAATCAATTTTACTCATCAATATAATCTCCTTCAATGGCACTACAATCATTTCAATGCTTCTCTAACTTCTCGATGCCGTGCTTGTAGAAGGATTTCTCTTTTGCCTCAAAATAGGCTTCAGTTTCAGCAATCACTTTTTCATTTGAGATGAATTTCAGCCAGTAGTCGCTTGGGGCGAAATCTGGACTATACGGTGGATGAGGAAGCAATTCGAAGTGTAATTCGTGCAATTTGCCATCGTTTTTATTGACTTGCGACATGGTGCATTGTCTTGGTGAAACAAAATTTTTTTCTTCGCCATATGCAGTCGTTTTTCCATAATTTCTGCTTTCAAACAATACAGTAATGCCGTGTAGTAGTTACTATTGATAGTTTTTCCCTTCTCAAGATAGTCAATGAAGATTATACCATGTGCATCCCAAAGTACTGAAGCCATAACCTTCCCCGATTTGCCTTTGATTGTTGTGCCTTTGGACGCTTCGGACGTGGTTCACCGGCTGCAGTCCACTCAGATGACGATCGTTTTAATTTCGGAATAAAGTGATGGATCCATGTTTCATCCATTGTCACATATCAACGCAAAAAACCTGATTTATTACGTGTAAATATGGCCAAACACTGCTCTGAATCATTAACACGTTGTTGTTTTTGATCGACTGTGAGTAAACGCTTTCTCATGGTCAAATGTTCACTTAAATGGCTATCACTTTTTTTCTGACTAATCGAAATGTCATGAAATTTTACACATGGTCTTTTGAAGTTTGATACTTCATAAACGTCATATGGATTTGACAATGGCGGCGCCATCTGTGTTTCAGCGTTTTAGACGAAATATGAGCATTTTTACAGGCCACTGTGGAGGCTGACAAGCGTTAGTGTTGCTTTAATATATTGGTCATTCGTTGCGAGTTCCAGAAAGAGGCATGCCAATGTGATAATTCTGTTGTTCCCACAGATTCAATATGGGTTGGCACATGGTATAGTGATAACATATTCAATTAACCAAATTTGTAAGGCAAGGTATATGACAAAGCACATATATCAGCTTGCTAATTTAAATGTATTAAGCAGGTATAATGTAAGCGCGGGTAATCCATAAAACTCCTATGAGTGCATTTAGCCTCCAATTCTCAAGGTGTATTGGGTAACAAATAGAGTGATTTAGGTGCATTTACCGTAGCCGTAATGCTAAGATTTTGTGTAAAGGCTTAAAATTCAATTAAAATTCAGAACTTATACAAGTTTGAAGTGCCTAAGAAACCTTGAACATATTTTGTTATGTACTAACTTTGTTACTTACAATAAACAGGAAATAAAATAAAATCAAGTAAACTTTATACAACTTAACAGTCGAGGCCTCTCAAATTTGGCCCATGCGCGTAATTTCATTAATGGCATATTAATGCGATGTTATTAGATCGCCTAATTGCTACTAGCAGGACATCAACGTGTTTTTCTGGAAAAGTCTCATTTTTCCTTCGCAGTTCTCAACTTTATTAGCGCGACTCGGTCACTTTTACTTTGGCTACTGACAAAAAAACACGTTTGTTATTTATGCTTCAACTTACATGTAACTGGTTAAATTGGTATACTACTCTCATCGAGCTAAGTGGTTTGAGTGCCAAATTAGCAAATCTCTGTCAGATTAGATACGATCATAACAATGAATTTTTTTAATTTATTTAAAATTATAAAACATTGTTTAGATTAAACTATATACAAATAATTTTTTTTCAAATTTAGATCGTTCATCATATGTGTAAAAATTTAATGTCCATCCAGATCCATCGAAGTTAGGTGATTTCTTCGAAACAATTGCAATGTGACTACTAGGTATTTTTACAGCATCCCAAGCTCCTGCCCAATTTTGGCCGCATAGAGTTAAAAATACTTCTTCATAACCATTAGGTAAAATTTTATAAATGGTTACATTATCCAGCGGACAATTTACTTTGGATCCCATATCAAAACCTGAAAGATTAAAAATTTAATCAAGATATTAAATAATCGAAAACAAGGAAACAAACTGGAAAAATAAATGCGAATGTAGTTTGGTGAAGGTACTTTTATATCCCATCTACAATTAGAAAAGTTACGATCGTTATCATAATAAGGACTTGATAGTACTCCATCATTGTTGTATATTTCTCCACCACAACCTGCTGGTAACGACCGATTAACTGCTATATACTCAATTTTTATATAACTGAAATGGTCTACATATATTCGTACAGCACTTGTGTTTGTATGTAGAGAACTGTAAGTAAATCTGTCTTGACATGTCTCCAATAATGTTTGATTTGTATGCAAGTCAATAAACTAAAAATTAATAATTGATTAATATAAGACTGTTTACATCAGAAGGTACTAATACCTTAAGAAAACTGGTGGAGCAGTTATATGTGTTAAAAAATATTGATTGCATGTAGAAACTTATTTTGTAATCATCCGGCACACGTATATCATCCACACACTGTACCTCTTCAAATGTACCCCTATAATAATCGATGTGGTCATTTAATTTAGTGTAGCTGTTGTTACACGCTAAAAAACAGATAATAAAATAATAGAAACTATATAAATACTTGTTAACAAATGTTGTTTAATATTATTAATTTAATATTTTTTAATACATCACTTACTTTGCTGATGTTGAATTGTTATATTGAATCCAGGGTATTCAAAAAATTCGTCACTATGGAAGCTTAGAATAATGGACTTTTCCGAATCATCAATAGGAAGTTTGAAACCAGTTGAATTACCACAGTAGTAGGTAGATAACTGCATTAAAAAAATAATTCAAACATTTTAAAATAGATCTTAATTGATTTTTTCATTGTAAGTCATTCAGAAAAATTCCTTCTATGGTTTATAAAATACTAATAAGTGAGAAAGAAGGCAAAAAAGTGCAAAGTAACTTGAATGTCTGTAAGGGCTAGAGACAAATGCATAGCGTTTATAATAATTAATAACAAATAAATAACAAATAAAAATCGTGTAAGTGGTTTATTGTGTAATCATTAAGTAATGTCTTTACAAACAGTATGGTATTGAAATTAAAAAACTAAAAATAAAATGTAATTAATTAATTTAATTATTCTACAGCTACTTTATGATTTTGGTCTAATATAACACAGAATGAATTTGTTAATAAACTTTCACAGCAAATTAACAAAACTTCGGAAAAATGCGCGAACATAAAAAAGTCAGTTGCCTTTGGGTACGTTGGCTAATGAACGCTGACCCTGAGCTTCAAATTTGGCAGGGCACAGGTACAATCCCTAGTATTTGCTGTCTTAAAAAATTATTTATGAATAGTTAAATACAAGAATTATTTCTAAGACCACTGATAATGAGTTTTTGGCAAAACAAAACAAAACAGCTGTATGTTCAGTCAAAAATTCAATTAATAAAAACATTAGAAATATAAGAATTTTTGTTGTTGTAGTTCACTACTTTTCACAAAACCTCTGCAATTATTAAAATAAAATTTAAAAACATAGTTGATTTGAAAATTAATATCACATTTATAATGTCAAAGTTACAAATATATTATGGTAAAATATGGCAATAATATTATAATTATTATTATAATTTCGCACTACTGCATGAATTGAGATTTAATTTTACATACTTTCAATTTCCTTTCGAAAAACATTATCATGCAAACAGTTTTAATCATTTTGAATGCTCATTTAAAAATGTATCACCTATTGAGGCAATCTAAGACACTTTCCAGGTATTTTAAGATATTCAGTTTTAATCGTATATATGAGGTCAGATTCCTTTAAATCTCTTTGAATAATTTCCTGCAATCACTTTAAATGATGTTGTGTTTATATACAATTTGTTTATATAACTGCAATGGTTTTGCATTAGTCCAGATTATATATTGAGAAAGACCTATGAATAACTATTAAATACAAACTAAAACAATAACTGAAATCGGCTTTACTTTGTACTCTGTTATTTTGTTCCTGTATTTACAAAAAGTCACTGTCTTATGAGATTTATATAAACCACTACGGTCGAGTAAAAAAATTACTATTTTGTTTTCATTTTTAATAATTTTTTAATCATTAAGAGACCATGATTAATTTAGTGCGGTTGTGATCTCTTAAAGGAACGTTAAAAAGTCTTAAAATTTAAAATTTCTAGAAAACTCTCATTAATCTAAAATATGTTGGTATTTACTATGGTTTTATGTGGATATATAAAAAGTAACTATTTAAGAGCAGACCTTTGATAATGGATATATAGTCAGGTCTTGCCCTATTATCACAGAAGTTTTAAAAACTTATTACAATAGAAAAATAGAAGCATATGCTCCACTAATGCCAAGGAACTACAAACTTTTATAAAAGAGATAGTTGACTTAATGACTGTTTCCCCAATGGTTATAACTGTTTTATACTTAAGATTTGAAACAATGAATATGATAGAATAGTGAGTTTATAGTGATTGATGATTTGCTTTATAAGAAATATATCAGACTCAACATCCAAATAATACCATGCATATTCAACGTACTATTTATTACTAATGATTGCACTTCGAAGCGGGATTCTAAATGCTAAACTTCAAGGTATGAAGAACACTCTTCTTAAAGTTTTGTCATTCATATGGAACGCAATTAAAAGAAATATTTATAGTACACTTCAGTGAAGAGTAAAGAGTGGTTTGTTTCATATCTTTGTGTGCAGAGGGCAATTGTAGAGATATATGACTTTCTCAGAACTACAGTTGTAGCTTCGGCACATCAGGAATCACATAGTCTGCGATGCTTCGTACAAACTCTTGTTAAAGGAGAATACAACCATTCAATATGCAACTATTATAATATTAATTAAAAGGTGATTTCAGTAAGTAATTGTGATTCATACTTACATATTCTCCTTGTATATGCAAATAGTCTAAACATTTATTATCCACTTGTGAGGCATTTTGTAAGAGAAACTTGTTGAAGTTTATTACAAAGTTAGATGTTGCTTTAATTTTCCACTTGCAATGTTTATTTGGTGGATAAAGTTCACTAGTATTCTTCAGTGGAAATGCAATATTCAAAATCTAGAAAATTCAGGTAAAATGAATTTAAGTTAATACTTAAGACATCCTGAAACTTCATATATACATACCTCATTATTGTGTAGTACATATTCATCTGTTCCACATTCCGATTCAATCAAGTTCAATACAATTTCAAATTCGACCTTTCCCTTTTTATTGGTGGCATCAAATTTTATTAAGGCGTCTTCCACTGACGTAAATAATGATATGGTAGTGTGCACATCTTCACAATATTTTCCCATAGATAAACGTCGGTTAGCAGCGCTGTCCAGTATTTCAATAAAGTTACACAACTTACACTTTTCTAAAGTTCGACAGGAAGTTTGATTATTTATATGTAATTGTTTAAGTTGAATATTAATACGATAGCCTCGTGGTCCTAATATCCGATAGTGGCACAGTAGATCTTCTGTGACATTGAACTGTCGTGGTAAAGACACAATTAGATGATCGACTGAAAGTGTGATGCGTTCATTGCAATTTGGCATGAATATAATATTCGCAGAGAATCCTTTGGATCCAACACTGACATCAGATACAGCATTTATAACACCAGTATTGCTATCCAGCATTATGACTGGGGAATTATCTGTCATATTACCACAAAGTCTGGCCACACGTTTCTCGTCATTTAAATTCGTACCCGAATATAAAGCAATATAATCAAAGGAGCAACTAAAACTTTCTTCCATTGCCAAATATTTGAATTTAACTACAATGGACTGATCTGGAGCTGCACGCAAGTACCAAATACAGTTCATATTATCTGCATACTGTTCATTTTCTTCATGTTGCAATGGATAAATAACAGTTGGTGATGTTATGTTACCACCACAACTGTTTAGTTTGAATTCCATTTTTAAGGAATCACCTCTGTCAAAGTATCCACTATATACTAATCTAAGATAGTTAGGAGCTCTTATTTCTGCATCATTACAATAAACTCCAGACGATATATCGGTACCATTAATTTTGCTTTTTACATATGCTGTAACACGCTCATAATTGCAAGTTTTTGCAGCAGAGAATCTAAGTCCCATATACAAATGGGCTATTATCAACTTTTCCGTTTCCGTTTTCACTGTTACCTCACATTGCGGACTGCCTATAAAACTGTTCGCCAATCGAGTGGTTTCCACGACTTGATTAAATTCGTCGGTAAGAACATGGACAACATTGCAGGTGGAGTGAACATTTATGGTGAAACCATCTCCAGTAGTGACATTATTCGTTCGAAAAACGATACGTATTCGCTTTGATTTGGTGTTATATGATTCAGGTGATTCACGACCGCAAAATGTTGCTGCTTTCACCCAAATGCCAGCTTCGTATGTCTGAATTTCTAATTGATCGTTTGTACAGTTTTCAGAATCTTCAATGAAAAATCTATCAACAAATGACAAAACTAAGTAATATGCATTTGCTGCATCAAATTCCCAACTGCATTCCATATTATTTTTATATGTTTTGGAATCAACTGAGATTTTGGAAACTTGTCCTCGAATTGCGGTGGTACTGCCACATATAATATGTGTCTGTGCTTCAAGAATGAAATTGCTTTCCGATGTTTTAAAATTTTCAGCATGGTATAGGACATGTGTAAATAACTTGGATATAGAAATACCAGAAAAGTCAGTTACATCGCGACAAAATCGACCTATTTCCGGAAATACATTTGACGGTCCTGCATATACAACCAAGTACTCTCGGTCACAAGTATCTGAAAAATTTATTGTACCATTTAAGTGGTAAGATGTGGTGTAAGTTGCTCTTAAAATCCAAACACATTCTAGAGGTCCATAATTTTCAATACTAAATTCCGGACTTTTCAGTTGAAAACCGTTTGACAATTGCTGTACTCCACCACATTCGTGACGGCGGAAGTTTAGCATAAATTCCTTAAATTGTACAAATTCAGTTTGGAAGGTAATTATGGAGCCCCTCTTTGCAGAAGAAGAAATTACCATATTGCTAACATTTGAAGTAAGCGCAACAAATGGTACAAACAGTTGCTCATCCTTAAACCGTACCGGACTGATTTGGTAGTACGTATTGCTGTGGCCGTAAACAAGTGAGCTTATATTAAATGTCAAAGTCTGTTCGCCATTCTGATAAAATTGAGTGCGACAGTAAAAGTTCGTATAATTGAATTGATCCGCAGTTACAGATAAGAAACCGGAGGTAAGATGAGTTGGAATATCCACCGGGCAGTGCGATTCATGGTCGGAAGAATAACGTGCATGTATTTTGCGTATTGAGTGAATTAATCGACCGATTCTAATTTGGATATACATTAAGTTATCGGTTGACTGTATTACGTTAGAGGAATTGTAGTCTTCAAAATAGAATTCAGTTATCTTAGCAATGGAATCGATGCTATTGAAGATTTTAAAATTAAGAGAATAGTTGACTTGAGAACGTGGTGGCGATCTGTCAGAAATATTGAGACAATAATACTTTAATAGTTTTAATGTAACTGTTTCAATTATATATAATATTTATATAGTTCAAATATATTAAAAAATTTTTACAGAAATAAACTGTTGGAAATATCACTCTGTTCTTCAATAGAATGCGGTGATATTGAAATAATTTAAATAATATTTTGAATGTAAAATGATTATAGTTAAAATAACTTATATTTTATACTCACGTTTCCGATCCATTATTTGAAACCAATCTATAAGATCTGTCAGTATCTAGGAGTTCGAAACGTACTACTTGTCCTTTTGGTACAGTAATTTTCCAACGACAAAATGTGGGCATTGAATTATCTCTTGGAATATCTAATTCAATATTACCAGATAGCCCACTAACATACCGATAGCATGTACTAGAAATTCGTTTATAATTTATTTTAAATCCACGATAGTTATGATTTTCAAGAAATGTTGAAAATATTATCAACACTTCCTTCCCATCAATCTCCACTTGGGGTAATGTTTCATTTCCATATATAACAGTTACTAATTCGGTAGTGTTCTCATCGAGAATTCTGAATATATCTAGATGATCTGAATTATTTACATTATTATTATTGAACGGAATATGTAAATCCGTGA